CTTTTTAATACAAGAATTTTTAGAATTCTTCTGAAAAAATCCATTCCTTAGACTTTATTCTATCGATTTAAAGAAATGTTGGTTTACTAGTTTAAATTGAGTTTTATTCATTTATTTCAAAGTGAGAGCTCTCATTATTTTGGCTTATTTAATCATCCTCCTGATTTTTTAATATAATTTTTTGAAGCAATTATATTAAGAATTTGTAGTTGAGCCTCTTTTTTAACAGGTTTATGAATTTAAGTCTGATTCATTGTAAATTAAATCTGATTTACAAGTTGAGCTTCAATAAAGTTTAAAGTCTTTTAAATATTAATAATATGAAAGCGATCATTCTTGTTTAACAAACTTGTATGTCTACTTTAATTTAGCTGTCTCCAATTGTATTGATAAATCTATATTTCTTTGAATAGGACTGCAGCGTTTCCTCTTCTCAGTATATTAAAAATCTACTTCTTTTTAAGTCTGAAGTTGCTAAGTTGAGAAGTAACAAATGATTGATTCAATCGGCAATGTACCTGGAAATAAAAGCAACATCTGGACGAAAACAAGTTGTATATTCTATAGAAAAGATTTCATTAATTATCTCTTGGGCCATAGCCATTCTTATTATCATTTTAAATAGATAAATTTAAACAAAGTTATCTCTCATAATTAGCTTCATGGTATACAGAATTTATTTTTGAGTTTTTGGTTGCATCTCATTGCATTCTATAATTTCTAGATTTGATAAAAATGTTTGTATTTTAGTCAATGCTGTTTAAGAACGAAATTACATTTTACTCAATAAAGGAGAATATAATGTATAAATTTTTTTTGAAGAGCTACTTATTAAAGTAAAAGCTAAAGCTTCATTTACTTAGGTGGTCAATTATTATTAATATCATAAAATAAAACTCATTTAATAAGAGGATGCATTCTTTTTTCATTACTACAAAATTGATAGTCTTGACGAAAATTAATCACATTTATGGAATACCGAATTCTCTTATTTTAATTCTGTTCAATCCTAAAGAGGCTATTTCTTCTGAATTTAGCATCTTTCATTGGCGAAGATCTTATGATAAATAATCTTGTTCAACTTTGCTTCCTTCTTTCATTTTCCTTGAACATCTTTATCACATATTTACTATATATCTGTACTCTTTGATCAAGACTCAAATAAACCTTTTACATTGAAAATTCACAGTCACACACTTTATTTTTAAATTATTGATTATACTATTATAATATCAAGCTAATAAGAAATTTATTTTTAAATAGTGATCATAAATCTAGGCTTGACAAAACTTAATATAAGTCATCAAACTATAATCAAGGGGATTACATAATCTTTTCAAAACCCAAAGACTATTAATTATAATAAATTTAATAGAGAGTATTAATAAATGTAAATACTAGAGATAGGTTTAAATATTTGATAGATACATATCAAAATAACAAAAGGGCAATGAATAAATTAAGTGTAGCAAGCTTTATCAGATATCTTTAGTTAAAGCGAATTATTATTTAGCATTTTGATGAAATTTCCAGCTCATATTATTACATTGGCTAATATAATTTAAATTAATGCTCTCACTTATTTCTTCTTCCAACAATATTACCTATTTTCTTCTGTATATTTTAATCCAAACAGAAAGACTGTCCAAATCAAAGTAAAGAACACATGAACAATTGATTACCTTTTTAACATTATTGCCTTAAGCTTTATGCAAGTCCCATATCCACATTTTCTTATCCAAAGATTAAATTTTGTGGCAAAATGTTACATTTCATATATATAGGAGGGTCTAACTTTCTCTATTCTATTTTATTCTATTCAAATCGAGATGTTTGAAAATTCATCCCAATTGCCGGGTAGCTAATTAATCAACCTTTATGAATTCAAAAAGTAACCACTTTCATTCAAGAGAGTTTTTCTTTCCATCCTTTCAAATAACAAGTATTATAAGTTATTCAATAATTTTATATGAAAGAAACCTGAATATTCGTTGCGCTTATTTCAAACCCAGAGACAATTTATCATCATTGAAAGTTTTATAAAGAATGTATCTTAGATTATACACCTTTCTTTATTTATATATACCCAATTTTTAGAATGCCATAGTATAATCCATTTTCTTGAAATCAATTTAGATACAAATTTTTCTTTGATAAAAACAAAGAGAGAGAAAATTAAGTAATCAGTATTACTACTTCTAGACTCAAAAATTTAATGAAAATATCTAGAAATAAACAAGATGGCTCTAATTTGATTTTCCTATGTTATCAAACAAAAATAATATATAATAAAATGTAACCGTATAACTCATAACAGTTGAATAAATAAATCTGAGAAAATACTAAAATTTATATAAAATGAAATATTAAATGCTGATATCTAAATTATGAAAATGAAGAAATAATAGGATTTTGTTTAAATGAGAATTGTTAGAAAGCAACTTAATATTTTTATTAATGCTTGACGTAAACACATTCAGATCATTAAGATGATTGTAATACAATTAATTCATCTAAGCTTAATAAAATCCAATACTTAAATCAAAGAAATTATCAATCAAATGAGTATTTGTTTTGAATGGATTTAAAAATAGATAGATTTAAAAATGAATGCATTAGAGAACTTGAACATAAAACTCTTAAACCAATAGTATCTAACTTTTAAGTCTCAAATAAAAGTAATCAAGCATTTTACTCAAGGGAAAAAGAAAGTTAGATATGTATTTGTTTTAATAATTGAAATAACTACTAAATTGTTTGTATATCTAGAGACAATTTGAATATACTTTCTTAAATTCTTAAAATCTAAAACTTCATTTCCAAGAATATTAAATATCTTATCCTATGAAATTAATCATATTTCATTTTAATAAATCTGAAATAAGAGAGAAATCTCGATAGATCTAAATCTTTGCCGCTTCTGAAGAAATAGAGCCCATCTTCAACTAACCTGTGTCCTTTTCCTGTTGTCTTTGTCAAAAGGCAACATTTAAAAAAGCTAAGACCTAGCCATTATCCTTGATTTTCTTATAATTAAATATCATTATGATTACAAAAGCATTTAATAAGTTGACTCCAACTTTCTTTTTTTAATTTTGTTCCTCCCCTTCACTTTTGTAAATGATCAAACTACTCTCTCTGTAAGACCTACTAGGATTAAATTTACATTCGAAGAGTTGAAATGAAGAGATGAATTTTAATATTGGGATACAAATTCGTTACAAAACCATTTCAATATAAAAATGGATTTAGATTTAGATTTTTTTTTAATTTGATGGCATAAGTGGATTAAATCAGATTACCTTCAAACAAAATAATTAAGAGAGGTTAATTTGAATTTTGAATTACAGCGAGGATCTCTTATAAAATTTTATAATCAAAAGCTATTCTTCTGCTATCAGATATCTCTCTTATTTTATTATAACAAAGTTTAAAATAACTCTTGCAAAATTTCTTCTTTCTTTATTCTAATATAATCTAAGAGTAAATCATCTTAAGTTTAAAAGCCATTTTAAGTATATATTTTAAGACAAAAGGACTTAAATTAATTGTTTCATTTAAACCTCTTTAATTATATGATCACCAAGGTCTAACTGCTTAAAACCCACTAGTTATGACTTTTACAAAAAAATCACAAAATATGCTTTATTATGAGTTACTCTTGATTTCTTATTTATAAGTTAATATCATTTAAATTTTATTATTCCAACTACTCCTCTAAATCATAATTCTTATAAATTCACTTTGTAATCGACTAGGCGGTTTGGCAGATTATTTAAATAGCTTTAATAGCTCTTCTCTTTCGACATCTTCTGTACTGAAGCAAAAGGAAGGGAGATAATAGTATAGATAGAGGAAAATGGGCAACTGTTTGAGATTAAATTACAAAATGAAAAAATTTTGATATATTGGCAAAGAGCATTAAAAAAATTAAGTATCAGCTACCAATAGGTAATACCATGCCATGTCAGGTTCAATGGATACTTGTCAAAGGAAATGGCTAATAATATTTGCAAGTTTCTGCAGCCTATTAGGTAGATATACATGGATAATTAAGTGCACTTAAATAATTCTAAAATGGTGATTTTGGTGGTAATCATAATACCAAAAAATATTCAGTTGTAATAATAATAATCATTGTTCTCTTATTCAAAGGCCCTTACTCCAAATGAATTGATATTTAAATTACAATCATTTAAAAAC